CAATTGTTTGTAATATAGTAAAAGTTGATCTGTGAAACCTGAAATAAGAAGACGGACGAGGGCTAATTTGTGTATTTTGCAAAATTCTTTCAATACTCTGATAGCTCGATAGCTTAGATCAAATGTGTTATATTTTCTTCAAATTCAAGAAAAGCTTCATCGCCATCATAAATGAAACAAGCATTTAAATGTGTCAGACCCTAAAAACATAAATGCTCCTCGATAGTCGCATTTCAGCCTAACTGGATCTAGCCTAGCATTTGCAACTCTTATACGTAATAACATGATTGCATGACAAAGCAATTTATAATTCGTTTTCCGTACGTTAAAAGAAATATCATTATCTTATCATTTCAGATATAGAGCATTCCAATTAGAGGACGTTATAATGAGCTGAAGCACACGCACTGCTAAATAAATGCAAAATATATCATGGAAATATGGAATATCTCCTGAATATGGAATATCTCCTGTGTATCATGGAATATCTCCTGTAATATACTTTATTTCGATTCCATATTTTTGTCAGAGCTATAGTTCTCATAACCAAACATAATTACAAAATTTCAACTAGTTTCATAAAGAATAACGAAAGATATAATTGACTGAATACATCAAAATGGATTTCTATTTGGACAACCCTTTCTGAGCGCTGATTGGCTAAAATACGAACACGAGATCACCTGTATATATATATATATATATATATATATATATATATATATATATATATATATATATATATATATATATATATATATATATATATATATATAAAAACTCATTAATAAATCATGAGGAAAATACAAAGGCAATGAATGTTTAATCAAAATTTGTAAATTAGCAAAAGATTTTGTCCTGATTTACATAAACTTTGATTTTCTCGGCTTAGGCAGTGTTTATTTTTAAAGTTACTTCGCCAATGATCTCATAAGATGGGTCGCCGATTTTTAAAACATTCGCATCCGATCTTTATCTGAGATACAAACTCTCGCCTTCGGCTCGATTTTGTCTATCAGATAGAGATCGGCTGCTCATGTTTTAACTAGTACATATTAATTGGCATGATATTATACATGCAGGTGTTTTTTAAAACAAGATTACTTAAACCAGTTGAAATATATTAACAGATTTATGTACAAAAACGCAATACAGTGCTTAAAACTCACAACATTTGTATTAGTTTCATTGAAGCAAATCCCTTCAGCTCTTTCCAGCAAAGTAAAGACCAGGAAAGCCAACACAGGTTTCCAAATTGTGCCGATCATTTTTGAATGTTGAGAACTTACACTGTTTGTGCGTCACTGCGTTAGACAGAATAAATTCTATGCAATCACAATAAAGATCCCTAACATGATGCAATATATTTTTGTAATGTCATCCGTTTCAGCGACAAGCTGAAACACGCGCACTTTTAAACAATTCTCTGTTGATGTTCTGGATTCAGGTGCACGCAACGTGCTAATGAAATATATACTCGTATGGCACAGATACTAACATTTTTGGTTAACTAAAGCTTACTAGGGTATTAGATAGTACAAAATCATTCGAATATCCTGACATTTTGAGAGTTTGTGATCGTTTGTGCTTTGTAAATGTGAAGCTGCATAAATTAAACCGATTTTTCAAAATGTACTTAATCGCCAAACTCGCGTCTCATCACCACACTCCCTCTTTAGCGCAACTGCATGTCCAATACAAACACATAAAACTCGCGTATGTGTAGTACAGTCAACAGTACTTTCTTTCTTTATTTTCATATCATGGTAACCTTCTCAAAGTATTTACAATATTAAATAAATTAAAGTAAACTCGAATTCTTCTCAAATGACGTTTACGTGCAAATAATCTAGCTATGTTTACTTTTGGGGATCCATTAATTTATTAATGTAATTTGAGCGGTTTCGGATAAGCGATAATCTTGGATAAAAGAAAACGAAATACATAAAAATATTTCAAGACCCATGTAGTTTAAATTTATTTCGTTTTAGCTGCCGGGAGTCTATAGGTTTAGCCTTTGGCAGATCAAGGATAACATCATAACAATATCGTAATACTATTAACCGAACGCGAGGTCTGTACAGTGAAATATCGGAACGAGGTCTTTTTTGTACAGACCGAGCCGTAGGGGGAGGTTTGTACAAAATGATCGAGGTCCGATATTTCTTTGTAAAGATCGAGCAAGCGAGGTTAATAAAAAAGTTTATTATATGGCATTTATAGGCATTTATATATACTCGACACAAACAAGAAATGCATGACTTAACATGCATATTAGTAGCGTAGTGCTAATATAAATTGTTAGTCACAGTGGATAGCGCACTTGCCTTTCACCTCTGAGGTCGCAGGTTCAAATCTCAGTGAGAACTTTCTCCGAATGCGACTCGAACCCAGTCCTCATGCCAAAAAAGTAAAGTCAACGCTCTGCCAAAAGTCGTGTGTTTTCTCCGGGTATTCCGGTTTCCTCCCACAGGGAAAGTTGACAGGGTGGGTTAGGTAAAAGGGCTCGCAGTAATTGGCATTTGCTGTTGTCACCGGTGACCCTGACCTAGTTGTCAAAGGTAAAAAAAAAATTTTAAAAAATGAAATAACTAAATATTCCTTTTCAATTTGTTTTGCTGTTTTGTTTTAAAATACATACGTTTGTTTTTGCATCTACTGATTTTTAATCAGTAGAAGCATTACCAGGACCAGAGGTAGGTATATGTCGGGAAAAGCACATTTGATGACATATTGATGACGCATCGATTAGTTCCGCTGTTGTTCATAAATGGTTTTGTAAATAACACGTGTGGAGTGTTTATATTTTCGAGATTGTATCTTCAAATTTGTATCTTTTAGTTTTATCACGTATATAAAAATTTCCGAAACCAGCAATCCCAACCGGAAATACAATTTAAATCGTCAACAATGCGACGTTTGTCACGTTGTGCTTGTGCTATGACTCTGGAAATGCCAAAAACAGATTCCAAAAGTCAGAGTGCACATCTATGCTTTATCTGCTCAATGCCTTTTATTTCCCAGTGCTATACTATTCTATTCAGTAGATGCATGTCTGCCACAGCGGACCTATGTTTACGTAATGTTCTCAGTCAATCAAATAAATATTTATCAAAAAAGAGAAAAACCATTGTTTGATTTGTTTCAAAGAAATAAAAACGTCTGAAAAAAGGCAATTATTTGTTTCTTAACTACTGTGTTGATAGAAAAGCACTAAAGCATTGCCTTTGTTGTTGGAAAACGAGACATGGAAATGGTTAAATGACTCAAATAGTATTTGCTTTCCAAGACTGGATTGAATTTGAAGTCGCATATCTGAATGAATTGAGAATGAGATTTTCCGAGTTCTATCTTTTGTGAGTGATTTTTGCACATTTATCGATGTTTATTGATTTAATTTCATGAATTCATTCAATTTGTATAAATTCAGTGAGATTTGTTTGGTATTGAGTATTGATCTAGTAACTCGAAACGACGAAGGTCACGCGTTCGAAACCCCGAGCCGCGACAGGGAAAGTTTTCTGCTTGCGCGCTGTCTGGAAATTATGATATATCTCACTCGTGAACATGGGTAACTTACTACTTATGAAAATATATAACCTCTACTGTTTGTTGCCATCTTGGAAACGTATGCCATTGTGAGTCCAATTTGCATGCTTTCAGTAAACTGTTTTAGCCATTGAGTGGCCACTCAATGTCGTAAAGGTTTATTAAAACTTGATGCTTGCGCTTGCGTTGCGCATGCGTTGCGCCATATTTACTCACGGGACTCAAATTTGAATCCCAAATGAGACTAATTTCAGTACTCGTCAGTAGCTTTGCATCCAATTCCCAACGGGGGAAAATGCGATTTCGACCGGCATTTTTAAAGCGGATTCTATTTGGCTATTTTATAGATCGTAATGATACAAGAAAAGTAGCATTCGACAGCTCACAGTTAATAGAAATAAGATGGTTTGGAAACTCGGCGAACTTCAAAGAGCGGCGGCAAATATGTTGCGCCACAAAGGAAATGAAAGTCACGTGTCAAATAGTGTGCATGCCCTCGAGCGAAGTACTTAAGATTATTAATGCGCTCGACAAAAACCTTATAAAAAAGTGTTTTTAAAAGGACGATACAGCTGAAATTGAAATGGAGGAAACTTCTGAGGGAGTTTTGGAAGAAATGGAAGAAATAACGTCGAGTGTAAAGCCTTCTGGCTCATCGTCAAGCAGCGAGGAACAAACAATGTTATTCGATGAAGATGCTTTCCACATGAATATTGCGATTGATTGAAAATGATGACCTATCGGTGGAAAATGAATTAAATTTTATAAACGCGTTGAACGAGATTGATGGTCTTATGGTTTATCCTTGCAATATAATATATGTAACAATATTTGTAAATCGAAAGGCGGTTTGACAAAGCACAAAGATTCAAAACATGTCGACGATGTTTCTGGCACCTCTCTGAGGGTAGAAATACAACACCACTCGATAAAGACACAATGAACTTGGTCTTTAACACAATAAAGCAAATATATATATATATATATATATATATATTATATATATATATATATATATATATATATATATATATATATATATATATATATATATATATATATATATATATATATATATATATATATATACTTAACCCATTGAGTGGCAGCACTCTCCCCCTGACAAGTAAAATCGTCTGGCATAGTAGACAGAGTAAAATAGTCTGGCGTTAGACAGAGTAAAATAATAAAGTAAGGCGCATTGCCACTTAAAGGGTTAAACTGGCTAATTGAACTAACTATTAACTAAAAAAAACGTGTGTTAAATGCCAGTTTACAGTTCTGTATAACATGTGCATTATAATAGTTTGTTATACTTTATATAGTTTAACACACCCTGATAATACGGCAACTTCTCAAAGGAATTATTAAAACACTTTATATAAGAAATTGCAAAAACTTGCGAAAACTTATATATTATAGGAAGTTATTGTTGTAATAGAGATAATATAGTTTTAGCGAATTTTAGCCGTTTAGCCGTCGGTTTTCTGTTTTATTTAGAAATTTTTCTTAAAATATTTAAAAAAATTTTCCCCAACTTTTTTAACTTTCAAATAGTTTATTAGACATTTATTGGTTAGGGTTAGAAAAGGGTCGAAGGGTTTGGGGTTGGGGTCTGTTTATCTTAAATATTCCAACTGCAGTACGAATAGCAAATTAAACTCGGCTTATTGTTCGAGTACGAATAGCCACTTCGTAATTTTAAAGCAAAAGTATGCAAGGGAAACAATAGTTCTGGGTCTTGAATTATACAGTGTTCGGAGTTTACAGTATTAAAACATTCATGCAAATGGGGGGGAGGGTGTATAGATTTTTCAGTATTTTACAGGGGGGTCTTCAACATTTAGATCATCAAGGGGGAGAGGGCTACAAGATTTTTTTATATGACATAAGAATCTC